ATCCAGACATTGGAGGCGTAGTCCACGACCGGCGCTACCGTCGATGTGAACAGCTGCCGCGCTGTCGCTGGGGACAGACCCCGAAGTCGGCGCAGCTCCATCGCGGCCTCCAGGCCCTTGGACGCTGCCCTCGCGATCTGCTCCTTGTACTTGAGCCTAGTGTCCATTAAGACGCCCAGGATCTTCACATGGTCTTTGGGCACAACCGTCTGTCCCTTGATGGTGAACGGCTCATGGTCCGATTTATGCGTCTTGGGGGTAAAGTGTATGATAGCCGTCTTTTCAGCTTCAAAAGTCGCTCCGCTTCTCCTTTCCCAGTCGAGCGCCTCATTGATAATTGCGTCAATTCCTCCCCTGTTACTCTGCGCGGTTGGCCCGGTCACCCATGCGGTGAAATCATCCATAAAGGCAATTGCTCCTCCCTAGCAGTCGATCTGTCTTTGCACGAGGTCGGCGTTGAAGAAGAGGAATAGAATCGGAGACAGGGGCGAGCCCTGAGGCAGTCCAGGCTGTGGCAGGTCCTGAACCTCCGATGGTTGCCTATTGATCTGGATGGTCGCTGTCCGTCTAGAGCAGAACGCCTCAACCTAGCGGAGAAGGCCCTCCGGTATGCCTCGTGCCCTCATCCTTTGGAGCAGTCGTTCTTTGTAGACTCTATTGTATGCCCCTTTTATATCGAAGCTAATCTAGGCTCAGTACCTGTCGGCCGCGCCACGCCGTGTAGATTTGCTCCTGTAAGAGCAGGAGTGCCTGCTCCGCGGACCGCTGCTTTCGGGCCCCGAAGTGACTGGTCGGGAGTAGGCCGTGGGTCTCCACTGTATACGAGATCCTTTCTGCTACCACTGACTCTAGGATCTTGCCTAGCGTCGCGAGGAGTAAGATCGGTCTCCACGCCTTAGTAATAGTGTAGTCTTCCTTGTTCGGTTTTCTTAGCGGGATGATCTTTACGTATCTCTACTGTTTCGGTAGCGTACCTTCTTCCAGTGACGCCTAGAAAAGATCGAGAACGCGATGCTTGACCGTGGGCTAGGTCATTTTCCTCACTATGACTGGTAGGCCGTCCTCGCTTGGCGCCTTCTAAGACTTCGTTGCGAGCAACTGCCTCTCTACCGCTTCTATAGTGATGACCAGCATCTCTACCAGCGTTCTTTGTGGTCTTGTTCCTTTACATTAAATGTTCTCCAGCAGGGGCGGGAAGAATTTGGTCAGAAGTTCTTCGGCTTATTCCTCATGGTCAGTAGTAACCGTTCCATCTACTCGGAGAAGCTACGGAACTTTGCCGAAGGTTGCATCTTCTCCTAACTTCAGGTATTTCGCGGCTTTCCAAATATTATCGTTGTCGGCCAGAAACTCATTCCAGTACTTCTTCTTTTATTTCCGAATTGCGTCATAGTATTACTTCGCGGCGCTTGCGGCTATATCCTCTAGCTGTGGCACCTTTCGCCCTGCCCGTCTTTCCGAGCAGGCGTGGTTTCTCCAGTATGTGTATATTTGATGGAGTTACGTTAGGTCCGCCGTCTACTATCGCTTTACGTGTGGTAACGGTTTGGCCCGCGGTGTTAGGGCATGCACCGCTTTAGATACCATGGACATCAGCCGGTCGGTCTTTTGCTGTACCGAGCCTTCTACTGGAGTAGCAGCTAGTGTTCCTGCAATTCTAGTATTGATCTCCTTCTACAGCGCATTCTTCAGCAGTAGTCGCTCTAGCTGTTTTAGAGCAGCCCACAGAGTATCGAAGACGGCTTCAATGGTGCAGTGGTCCGAACCATGCTCCGTTCCATAGACCGCACATTTGATCATCGAGTCTGTTAAGTTTTCTGAGGCGAGAGCGAGGTCGATCGTCGACTCGCAGTCCCCCGAATATCCTACGCTGTGCCATATCTTGGTGCCCCGTTTAAGTAGGCTGCTAAGTCCAAATTCATTCATAAGGTCGATAATTAGGTCTGCCTCGCCTTACCTAGTCAACGATACATCGTCTCCTCCCCACAGTTAATTATAGCGGTTAAAGTCTCCTATGATTATAATCTCCACTACCGTCCCCGAATCTCGCCATACCTTTACAATTGCTTTCCGGAGGTGATCGCATACGTTGTTCAATGCAGAGGCATCCCCTCCCTCTATATAAACTGATACGATAAAAATCCGTCGTTCGGGAAGCCGAATGACGGCCGCCGTTAGGTCCGGCAACTCGATCTGCACTTGCTCCGTTTCCACATCTCTGTTAACCCACAGCATGCTTCGGATCACCTATCTCCCTTCCCTCCACGTAGAGGGAACCATCTTTGTCTATTTGTGGTATCCCATCGGGGTGGTTAAGAGCCGGCCTTAAATCATCCTCGCCTAGGGTTCTTGGATCGCTAGTGCCATTGTATTTTAAGTATCTTCATCGTTCATGAGACTTTCTTGCACTGCTCCCTATTTTCTCACATTCAGTTGTATCACTCGGAGTGTTCTACTTATTACGTGACGGGTAGAGCTTCCGACAATTTCTACTAAACGATTCATGAGGACCCCCGCATAGAACGCACTTAGGAACGGTTTAGTCGCAGTCACTGTGGCGATGCCCTTCCATAGCGCATTTTGCACATCTCTGTGCGTTCTTGCACTGGAATGCCTTATAGCCAATCTCTTGGCAGTTGTAGTATTGCGTCGGTCGTGGTCGGTGTTCGAAGACGCTAGTCACCCCAGATTCTCCCCTAGCGTGAAAGAACCCCTCAGCTAGGAGCCTTCGAGCATCACTGCCTTTGGTGAGGTAGACAACCATTAACCCATAGGCCTTTGTACTATCCTTTTTGCTGAGCCATACAATCTTGGCAACAGTAGCTTCATTTTCCTCGCTAAAGGCTGCTGCCACTCCGGCTCGGAGTTCACCTTTCTTATCTAGCACAATGGTTTTGTTAACACTATCGACTTTGATTGGGTACAGCTCATCCCGAAGTACCCGCGCTCCCGCGCCGATCTTACCTTCCGCCACTTTCTTAACTAGCTGGTGTTCAACTTCGTCGCGGCACGCTATTCTGATTCAGTTGGTGGTCTTCGGGTCCACGGTAACAGCGCGACAGCGCTAGTGCGTGTGGCCTTCCATCGCCCGAATCTCTGTCTTAACCGCCACCCGAATTGGGCCTGCGGACATCCTCTCGTTTTCATTTGCTGCCATCTCCGAGGTGTCGATTGTGCAGTACAATGTGTCGGTAAACGTAGTTAGTGTTGTGTTCGATGTCGAGAGACTCCGTATATTGCTTGGGTGGCTAAGCGGGGGTGTACGGGCGATATCTGCATACGACGGAGATCCCGTGGGAGCGGGAACGCTGATCTCCTCGCGCAAGGATTGTATTTCACGAAGAATCTCATCATAGTGGTTCGGAGAGCATGCCTCGGGGTAGGATTGCGGTGTCGTGGGGCTATCTATCAGGGTCTGTAGCTCGTATCGAACTCCTGCAAGGGCGACGCTAAATTCCTCCTTAGCTTTCCGAAACTCTTCTTGGACCTTCTGGAGTTCTTCTCTATGCAGCTCATCTCGCCGTCGGATCTCTTCCCTGAGTTTAACCAGCTCCTTTACCAAATTGCTGACATCGAGGTCGTCGCTCTCGGTCGCGGAGTCGTCCGAAGTTGCCACGTCAGGCTGAGATTCGGATTCAATTCTCTTCTTTTGCTGGGGTCGCGTCTTCCTCTGTTCATTGTCGATCTCTTGTTCTTGAGCGTAGTTTCTTGGTGGTCTGGTGGTGCGTTTCGGTCTCGACAGTCGCGGTGGTGAGTCTCCGCGTTCGTCGCGGTCGGGCGGTTCAGGGGTTCGCATCGCGGCCCGTCCCGCCATTACCCTCGATCAGTACAGGGAGTCGGTACTGTCGCCACGTGGCACTCCGCAAAACTCCAAAGTCGGCCTCTTAAAGTTTTCGATTAGTCGAGTTCTATCAGCGGTATAGTACGCTCTTTGCGATCAGATACAGTGATCGAATTTCCCAAAATTACTACAGTCAAGAACACGTACAGTACGTCCCGTAACTGGTGTCACCACCTACACTCTTCGATTCTTTCCCGAACCCTAATTGCCAAGACACGCTAGTCCATATTCACAGTTTTTTCGGAGTATCCTTGTCAGTGGGGCCTGTATTGGATCGTACACAGAATAACCAGGGTACAGAATAACCAGGGTACATAGCTGGGTGTATTCACATGTACTTTCAACATAGTTGATACTTCGATATCCCATTTCGAAAATTGTCACCCCTTGGTTTCCTCGCAACCACGCTAGTTCACATTGGCTGCCCGATACATTACCCCTAAAGCAAAGTATATTCCATATCATGTTGCAACCAGCATTTGAACTATCATTGATTCTGATTATGAATCTTCCAGTAGGGTCCAGTCTTGTTCTGCGAGCTACATTGCTAATACCCACCAGTCTCATCCCAATGAGTAATCATATTATCCCAAGTAATGAAATCCAAAACCCTCTGCCTACTCACTAAGCCCGAACCCGATTCCATCACGTCTTCAAACATACGCTGTAGTTTGCGCCTCGCAAAATGGCACATCATTGCGACATCTTTCACAGCCAGATCCCGCCCGTCTTCACGAACAGCCCAGACATTCCCTATCTGGCTATTCCAGTACATAGGCGCCCAGCCCCACTCGTCTTTGGAAGAATCAGTTTCCATCATCAAGAACGCAACATTAGGATTGCTGTCTGCCGTCATGCCCCCCTCCCATCCTGGCGGGTTATGGCGAAACTCAGCATCTAGGTCCTTCCAGAACCGTATAGGCATACCGAGGCAGACAGATATCGGTGAGATAGATCCACTGCCCAGGGAGATCTGGTTTGCTCGAGTGACGTCGACGGAAACGAAGAGCTCTGACCCATGAAACTTTACTTCGCCGTGACAGCAAATCTTCACGCCGCGGAAGGTTGTTGGGGCGCGGTGTAGCAGATCTGGGACACTTTCTCTGACATGCGTGTTTCGGTAGCTTATCAAGTAATCCATTAGATGTCGGAAGTCAGCTAGTGTTATATCGGCATAGTCTTCGTGGCGAATTTCTCGCAGGGCAATCATGGGCCCGCGATATTCATGTGGGATGGTAGAGGTGCAGGATGCCCTCACAGAAGCTAATATACTTCTATTTGTGGCTGACCCGTCCTTCATATAGGTGTCGCGATGTATCAAAGAGACACAGTATCCTTCCTGGTACGGAGCAAAGCTCGCAAACCCAGAGCCCAGGTTTCGACATCGAACTGGGTTATGTTCAATGCGCATGGTCCCTTTGAACGGTTTATCGGTTCCAAGGTAGGGATAAGGATCAATCTGTGTCCATCCGATGCCGTCCTCCTCATCGTATTGGCGTCTGCATGGAATCCATATCAAACATGGCTTGTCTCTCTCAACTGGGAAGAATACGGCCCGCTTGTGTTCCGGAGAGGGTCTATCGGGCTGAATAGCGAACTGTTCGCAGAGAAGGCTATGTGAAGGGGAGTCACTTTTGTCGCAGGCTCTGGTGCAATAGTATGTGCTTCGACACTGTGCACATTGAATTCCCGGGCTTGTATTACACATCACGCAACAATCTTTCGGTTCGAAATTGTCGAGGGGGCGATATTTTGGTTTTGTAGTAGGGGTAATTCCTTCCCTTTTTTTGGTGTCATAGTCAGTTAGTCATTCAGTATATGCCAACGTAGCAAAATATAACCTCACATAATCAGCAGATCATTATGCTGGATTGTCTGTTTATTCTTAAACCGCTGCACATCCTGTTCTCTCTGCTGCCATTCTTCAATGGTAAGATGCGAAAAATCCGACACCATGCCGGATTGCATGACATTCGCAGCGAGGCTTTTCTGCCTAGGGTGCATCAAATCGTTGAGAATCCCTCGGATGCGAGCTAAAAGGCTCTTCTCTAACCGTTCGACGGCAACCTTTATGGCACCTGAATTCGAGCTTGGTACGCCCCAGGCAGGATAACAAACACCATGCCTTCCACGTGTGGCAATTGAGCTTGGCAACGCGCCAAGAAAGGTTTCACAGAGCAAGCAAGTCCTTTTGCTGCATCCAAAGTAGTCTAGAGTAGGCCGAGGTGCACAGCTCTTCTCGTAGTGCATCACTAGCTGCATCTCAGCATGTAGAGAAATTTTCTCTGCACAGGCCATTCCAAACCTTTGGCTAAAGGGATGGAGCATTCGGATCACGGGTTCAGGAGTGGAGCCCAGCCCTAGTCGTTCCCACGCCTCGAATATTCCAACCACGTCTTTGGCTTCCAATGTTGTCTTCGATTTGGAAAGAACTAATGAAATCTTGGAATTTCGCAACTGTGGCTCTCGGGCAGCTATTGATCCCAATAACCGGCAGTCGACCAGCGGCCTGGCGACGAAGTTCAACTCGCCCCAGAGCTTCAAGCCAGCCTTGGTCCCAAAGATGTTCGAAAACAACTGTCGAACCTGTGTTAGGCCGAGACATCTATAAGCTGTTGAACTATCAGGGGCCTGGATTTGACGATTTCGTCATCGGCATCAAATTGTAGTATAAGATCCGTCATGGTCGTCCAAGTCTTAAAGGCAGCCTCCTGCCCAAGCCATTGCTGAGAGTTCCAGTCAGGACAATTATGGGCAATTTCTAGGGTTTGACGGAGAATTTCAATCCAATGATCGATCCGACGGGACGTATAGTCTATCATCTTGAGCTCGAATTCCGTTAACGAAGTTGCAGTTGTGTTCCTCCCTGTCCCAGCTGTCACTTCCAGTCATCAGATATTCAAAATCCCGTAACGAGGATTCAGAGTTGTTACATACCTCCAGCACTACCAGCCAGATATCCCTCCAACATCTCGCAGTAACCCATGATTTCACCGTCCAAGCAATCTTCATCAGAAAGAAAGCCATCGTTCCTTGCAATATCTACCTCGACTCCGTCTTCCCCTTCGCGTATCGCCGTTGCGGTAACCCCATCCCATCCCTTGCACGGCGACAGCAGCTGCGCAATACAGTCCAGGAATTTCTGGCGAACGGAATGTCGAGGCCCTGACAGAATCACATTCTTCTCTGTCTCGTAGTCTGTCTCACAATCGCTCGACTCATCTGTATTGCTGCCGCATTCCACGTTCTTCTCGGCTTCGTGTAGCTTCTCGTGGTTTTGGTTGTCTTTGAGATAAAAGAGGATATGAGCTGCCCAGACGACGCGTGCAGTGCATTCTTCGTGCGGGTAGTTTGGCGTTCTATGCGGCCCAGCCATCGTGCGAGGTAAGAGTCTGTTTCTGGGAAAGTATTCAAGGCCTATATATATATATATATATTTGACGTCCAACTCAGTGCGGGGTAGTAATAGTAAGACAAGCGGTTATTTATCAGTTCTGATTGGTAGTGTAGAGAGGCATAGAGGTGCGGTTATATTCGAGTTCCTTGTAAGGTATCAATAGTATTACCTAGCTAGAACCTGACGCGACTGTTCTAGAAATGAAAGGAAGTTAATATCCAAGATAAGTAAACAAATATTTCCATATTAGCAACGTTGGATTAGCATAGTTTCGAGTACGGGCCGAGAAACAACGCGTATCCACCAAGGGGGGATCTGTTTTCGAATCTTGTTGTAAGAGAAAGCTGTGGCTGACAGGTTGAGTATAGTGATAAACAGGGTCATAAGTGTTATCTATAAGTAAGCAATATATTGTAAGTCACTGTTGATGCTTTCGTGTGCATAGTAAGCCCCTAGACTGTCATTGAGGCACGGGATAGGAGATAAAGTGACACGTTGCTAAATCCTCAAGGCCCACTCCAGCTCATGTTTGACTAGTTTACATTTCTATAGAAACTTCCAGCTATGACGGCTACACTGTACGGTAACGATGCATCCTTAAGCGTAAAATACTGTATAGATATCTTACGGGAATTTTAATACCCCGGGTCTATTCCAAATATGGTATGGTATATCTTAGCATGAGGTTTCGAGAATCAATCGAAGAGTGTAGATGGTGACACCAGTTTCGGGACGTACTGTAGCGTGATTCTCATGCTGTCACAAATACCTGAACCTAGAATTGCCACTGAAGGTAATATAATGATGTTACCACTAGTATCAGCAACCGCCGCACACACCAGATTCCTTCCGCCAGTGCATTCGCACATGACGGTCGCTTAAATCAAGTATGCAGCAACTTTCGCGTTTTATCAGAAGCCATTCATTTCTGACTTCGGAAACCAGACCATGCAAGGCTCACCGCAAGGCAAAAATGAGGCTTCCCCTATAGTAGAAGCTGGACCTAGTTTGACCAAGTACTGTAGCGGCCTTCCCTACGGACTATTTAATGAACCGACAAAGTTCCTTGTTTATTTGGCTCCTTATGGTAACCCTGAAATTTTCTTGGTTATGGCCTTCGTTGTGGACAATCATACAAGTATACCAGTGAAGATAGGAGCGGAAAAGTCTCCACTTCCTGGAATAAACCCTGTGCTTGTTCCGCCTTGCTCAGCTGCGGATGTGACACCGGGGGTGTGTAGAGCCAACCAGGTACACCTTGCCAATGAAACTACCTATGCCAGAATGCTTAGGGAAGAAGCACAAATGGACATTCGTTTCAGTATCACGGTTGGTGCGGCTAACTGGGCACTGCTGGCCGGCTATCTAGTCATTCCCGGCACGTTCACTTCATTGCAGACCTCAAACCAGGTTGAAAAGACGTTACAAACCAACAGCGCCGGCCGTGCAGTTCTACATATGATCCAGAACCCCCCATTACTCGCTATTGCGTGCTTGCTTTTTGTTAGTGGAACTGCGGCTCTCATGTGGCTGATGCATTTCCCAAAGCTCAGGGGAAACTACCCCTGGCTGATCAACAAAGTGTTTGTGTAAGTGAGCAAATCCTAACTAAGTAAGAAGCTAGAAGCAAATCTAACCCTGAACTAGACCCCTATGCCTACATGCTGCTGCCGGGCTGCTGACCACTGTCATCAATGTCTGTACGTCTCAAGGTGGGGATTGGTCGGTAATGGCTATTATAACAACTGTTGTTACTGGAGCAACTCTTCTAATCTGTTCAGCACTTCTTGCGCTTTACAATTTTTTCAAGCTGGAGCGGATCAGAAAAGAAGATGAGGATATTCGGCGTTCTCGACCCTGCATAGCTCCTGATACGTGATCCAAGAGTTTTTAGACCGGAGAAGGGCGTGTGATCTGAAGCATCAATGTTGCATTGAGATTGGTATTTCTCATCTTGTTCTTCCACATGATTCTACCCCTGTGCAAGCCTTTGCCTGTAGAGTTTAGGCGTGAAATCTAACAAAGAGTCTGAATGTGTACGTAGATCATTGGGTACTTCCCGATACTTCTCTCCTTCATGTCGCACAACATTACTTCTTGTTCAGTTTTCCGATTCCCAATTACTATTCATCACGTGTCCGTATCGACTAATAACATTCGTCCGAGCCCAGAAAATTAGCATGTTCAATGTAAAAGCGATTTTCGTACAGAAGCCCTCGACAGTCAGTAGATTGAAGGTCGGCTAAATGAACCTCTATGACTCTTGCTCAAGAGCAAAGACTATCTATGTGAGGCTGAATGGAGCTCCAGGCCAAGTCAGTGTACTCGTAAAGTGGGCAGATTTTCAGGACCAGATGCACAACCTGATACCGTATGAGTCGAACATACCCGATAAATGAGTTCTGGAGGTCAGCACATCTGCGTGCGTCGACAAACAACCTACTAAGCATCGTCGCAAATAATATTCAGATGAGATATCTAGTGGCAAGTGGAGGGTGGGGGGTGCTAGTGGTTGAGAAGAGTGGTTAAGAAGAGTGGTTGAGAAGAGTGGTTAAGAAGAGTGGTTAAGAAGAGTGGTTAAGAAGAGTGGTCAAGAAGAGTGGTCAAGAGTGGTCAAGAGTGGTCAAGAGTGGTCAAGAGTGGTCAAGAGTGGTCAAGAGTGGTCAAGAGTGGTCAAGAGTGGTCAAGAGTGGTCAAGAGTGGTCAAGAAGAGTCAAGAGCGGTCAAGAGGGGACAAGAGTGGTCAAGAGTGGTCAAGAATAGTCAATGAGGAGTGTTTAGTAGTGGTTAAGAGTGTTCAAGAGTGGTCATGAGTGGTCAAGAGTGGTAAAGAGTGTTCAAGAGTGGTCAAGAGTGGTCAAGAGTGGTCAAGAGTGGTCAAGAGTGGTCAAGAGTGGTCAAGAAGAGTGGTCAAGAGTGGTCAAGAAGAGTGGTCAAGAAGAGTGGTTAAGAAGAGTGGTTGAGCAGAGCGGTTAAGAAGAGTGGTTGAGCAGAGCGGTTAAGGTCTGAACTAGCGATCAGTTAATCGGTTCGTGTTGGTCGGTTCGTGTTGGTCATCAGGCTTGGTCATCCCCACCATTTGTTCAACGCAAGCACTCTTTCCCTAAACACGTTGACAAACAAACCCCGATCCAGGACATTCCGCGCACTAGACGGACCACCTGCCAGCAAAGAAAAAGATGGGCCTTTGCCTGGTACGTGTAGAATTACTATCAATTGTGAACAGCTTTCATTAACATCACCCCTGAATCTGCGGTACGCAACTATTCTTTATACTTCAAAATTCATAACGAAAATATACGAGGTGATAAAACGGCAACATTTGCTAACGTCTTCAGTCAACCAAATCCCAAATATGGCTATTAGCAGAATATGATTCTCGTGTATTGAACGCAACAAATTATTCAGAGGCTCATGTGAGTACAAGCTATGAGGTTTCGCACAATATGGCTGTTATATCATGGATATATTCGAGTTATTACTGATCTTCTGTCTCAGGCGGGCTTGATTTACGATTTTAAAGCGGAGTCAACACTGAGAGGATTGCGGGATTATCCGGCTCTGGTGATCAATGCACGGCCTTTTAAGTCTCACGAGCATGAACGGTGGGAGTAATGACGTGCTTTGATCTACGACGTCCGTACCTAACGCGCCTATCACTAGCCGCATCCGTGTAAAAACCCAGATTTCCCAACCGCACTTGGCGGCGGTATAGTCTCATTGGCTAGACTCTGTATTTTATTCCGTTCTAGTCTGAACAGAAAGCACAACGGGAGGTGGGGCCGACGTATTCTCGAATCCCCGCCCAATCAGTAATTCCCATCCCCTCCTTTCTCTGAGTTGGAAGCGAGATTATGGAAGAAAACCGCCCGCACTAAAATTATACTTGATAACAATTTGGACGCAGGTACGAGTAGTGGACTCCGCTTCAAACGGGTCAGGTTCGGGACTCGAGCTTCCCACTAAAAGTGTATTTCACTCCGGCCAAGGCATCATTTTAGACACGCAGGAATATGACCTACAACCCATTATTGTTGTTTGAACACGATCCACGGAGCGCAGGGAAAAAAAAAAAAAAAAAAAACCCACCCAATTAATATAGCGGTAATATATACTCTAGCGGGCAAACGATAAATTATCTAGGTGCCCACACACGTGATGTCAACGAATGGATTTATAACTAGCGCTGTCGGGGCCTCTGCGTAGCATCCGGACATCACAGTCTCCTTTTCATGAAACGTTGTCACTGCCACGTTTGTCCTCGATTAAACGGCAGTTTGTCTTAGGTAATTTGTTCTTATTCTATGTGCCCACAGGTTTCTAACTGATTTACTCAGGCCAGGTCACATTCTTCATGGTTACCAACGCTGTCACTGTTGAAGGCTCTGGCCGCAACATTAGAGAAGATGACTGCATACTGAACTGTCTGCCAGAAATGAAAAACGTGTATTCTGAGCATTTCAAGCCTTTTCAAGACAAGCTGTCTTTGGTCCTTGAGCATTCTCGGTCACATTTCAGGGCCCTAGCGGGGCGAGAGAGCTTTGCTGGGTTCTTGAACGTTCCCCTCATAAGCGACGCCCTAGGGAAGACAATAGAAGTGATGTTTGAAGCATCGAAGCCTTGTGTGCTCCAGCTCCACAACGACGAAGCCAGTCCCAATATCAATTGGCTGGACGTTGTCAAGGAAAGAAATTATGAGGCTGAATACAAAGGGAATGGAACTTACCATTTCCATATGCGGGACCGGGGCGTGATTGTCCAGTTGTCTGCTTTCCAACATAATATGGTGCTTTCAGGATTACCCCGGAAGCTGATTCAACCATGGTCCTACGAAAAGGACGTACAGACAGAATTAAACACCTTGGCGCTGACAGCCGAAATGACATCACAGATGAATCAACTTGCATCAGAAAGTAAGCCCACTCAAACATTATATTTATCCTATTCACTCGCTTACATCGCATCGCAGTCATCAAAGCCAATAACACTGTGCTTGAAGAGGTACTAAGGAGAGATCGAATCCTCCGCCGCAATCCGCAGCCAAGTCGAAGATCGGCGGGCTCGCCCTTTCCTCTGGAATCAGCCGAAGAGCCAGCAAACTTTATGCAAGTGCAGATTGACGTTGATCCGCCGGATGGAATGGCTATCGAGACTCAAAGGACAGACGCGCAAGCCAGTGCTTCAAAACGTGGTGCTGGAACACGGAACTGTACGTAATACGCATAAGAAACGTGGCATTGACACTGAAGAGGTTGAAGAAACGTTTTAATAATTTGGATTTACCAGTTCTCAAAAACAAGGCTTGGCCTGCAGAAGTATTGAAGCAACTTCCTCTATGGTTTGAAGACCAAGTACGGAAGAATCAGTCGCAGGAAGAGATTGCACAAAATTTTCACGGAACATTCACACAAAAAAGGACTTTTCATGCTATTGAGGCAAAAGTGTATTTCTTAACAGGAAAAAGTCCTTTTAGGAAGCGCAATAAAAAGACTTCGCGCAAAAGACCTGTGTCTTTGACACCTCGCTCCTCTCCACCGCCGTCTCAATCCTCTGGATCAGTGGATTCCACCCAACAATTGATCTCGAGATCGAGCATTGAGGTTCACGCTTTACGTCTAGCCCGGAATCTGCTTCCTTATCTGAGTTCTGAAAACTGCGAGGATGGAAACCTTTACGCCCTTCATGGTGTTCAACCGGTTGACCCAGAATCAGAAACCAGCGATCTACATGCAGCACCTGAACAGGATACTGTGAATCAAATGTCAAGGTGCCAGCGCGCACCTCAGGAGCGTGAATCTCAAGCAGGTACAAGTCAAAATGAGTCGCCAGTTCGAGGAAGCCACCAGGCGGAAGAATCGCCTAAAGCCCATCCAGGTTTCTCAGATATGGTGGGCGAAAGACAGCCAAGGAATGGTAATCCAATCAATGTCTTCGCCGCAACATCAGAGATGGGTGATACTTGCTTGCCACGAAGCTCTCCCTTAGAACCCCCTCGGATATCAGAACCTATCCAATCTCCAATCCGACATCCCTCTGAAGACGATGCCACACTCGAAGTGCTAGGCCAAACGCTTTCCTGTTGTGCTGAGTCCAGTACAATGCACATGGAGGAGGCAGACACGGCACATGGCAACCAATCATCAGAGAGGCTTTCTCCGCAATCTTCATCACGCAAAAATACATTGACTAGAGGTTCAGAAAATGAGGGTTCCAATGATGAAAGCCACACAGAAAGCGGACTCGGTGCGTTGACTGTTCTCAGGGAATCAATGCCCTTCCAAGTCCCTCAACCAAGCTCCGCGGGTGACTCGACTGAGCATCACCCTCAAAACTGCGGAATAGATGGGCCAACCACCGACAAAACTGAAAGAGCTTTGGTTGACGAAGAATTGATTATAAGATGTCTCCATGAGAAGTCTAAAGCGGCGCGTTCTCATCGCAATTGGAACGATAAGGACCTGGACCGTTTACCAGAGTGGCACATGAAAATGAAACGGCAAAACCTATCAAAGGAGAGACTTGAAGTTGCGTTTCTGAGAGACTTTGACCACTATCGAACGTCTTCTGCTATCGATACAGCTTGTCGCAAAAAGAGAAAGGCAGATTCTCGCCGTAAGGATGTAACCTCAGCCCCCATCCCAGGTCCACTTCCTCCGGTTGTTCCTGTCGTTCTCGATACTACGCGGGTATCACAATCACTCAATGCCATCATTGGGCCCGACATTCCCAGCTTGCATCCATCTCATACCATAGCAGAACCAAGCAATGAGAATGCCGTACTCACGTATCCACCGTCGGAGCGACCTCGATCGCCACAACTCAATCGGTCGCAGGTCCTAGACAACGCAGACAGATTTTCTCGCAACATGCCTCCACCATTGCATGAGGGCGAAGAAGCAGTAGGTCAAAGTTCGCCGGCTGCTGTTGCCCTTGAATCCGCTTCCGAACAGATGGTGTGTTCCACACCTGAGAACGCCGAAGATACCTCCACGTTGGGCAATCGGCGCCACCGAGTTGTAAAAACGCCAAAACCTCCATCCAGATTCACAGCAATCAATGGCGGTACCGTTCATCCAACTGATCCAAATGTAATTGCCCAGCTGGAGACCAACGAGCGAGACACTCCGCCTGATGGGCAAGGAAGCCAGCGAGCATCCAAGTGCGTCGGGCAGAGAAGAGATGGCCAAAATGAGCCACAGAAAGACGGGCCCCAGAGTAAGCTCTCCTCTAATGCAGTGTCCGTCATAGTCACTTGGCTCTTTAAAGAGTATCAGATCTAGGTGTCACCTGACCTTATACTTCACTTTTCTTCATCTATCCGTCTGTGCTTCTCACACTGACTGTTTTCATTAGCATTTGCAGGTGGAAGAGGACGCCCCAATCAGCTTACCCCTGAGCATGAACTGGCAAGTTCAAATAATTCGGGGCTGTCCAGCCGAACATTGGAAGGAGCTGGGTACCAGCGGTCACTCCCAATTGGTACTTCAGACGCCAATATTGCACAACTGGGAACGCGCACAGATCTGCAGAACACATCGCAGTCTCAAGAACGAGACGTCGATATCCCAACCCCAAACGACCCCCACCCCACTTGCCAGCCCAACTCCCGAATTGCAAACTCCCAATTTTGCAGGCCCAATTCCCGGTCCGGGGCTTCTCAAACTAGCGGTGTGCCAGGAAGCACTCACACAGGCGGTTTGTTCACACCCTATACTAGTGGTCCCACGTATTCTGACATGAGGTCGGAAGCAGTTGTTCCAATATCTGTCTCAGCATCCTACCTGAGCAGCCCAACCGGTCTTCCTCACTATCCCCTTCACGAGTTGCAGGGACGCGGTGCTGAGCGGTACCAGGGCCCTCCGCTCCCATCCTTGGCGCAGCAAATGTATCGTGCGGGTGAGCCTCCTCATTGATAGCCGCCTGTGCTGTCTACCCCTTATACTTCCTCGTCTATCAAATCCAATTTGGTAGCAAGCCCCCAATTAAGTTACACATGGCCTGGTTTGGGTGATGTCAGATTTCAACTCTCAGTCACTGAGTGTCGTACAAGTTTATGGCACGACAAACTTTGAGTCCTTGGAAAGCAAGAATCGGAGATTAGCGACTGAGAATCAGATATAACTGTGCTGCTCATATAGGCTTTGAGGAAATATAGGCTATCAAGGAATAAACAAAATTTCACATGAAATACTCAACATTGGCTGAATTTAGATCATTCTATACATTGACCTGGCCGCTAGTAAATACTTTCATAGCACACACACCAGCTCAAAAGAATAGATGCTGGCCAGTCTTTGCCAGATTGCTTCGACAAAAGCCAAAGCATCGCAGTGATCTGGCTACAGATGACTTATAAGAACAACTCTCCCGCAAGATCTATAGATGCCACAGGCTTCCTTGCCATCGAGGGTCCACATAGCTCCCATCGATGAGAGGGTTAGTAAGGGGGTGGATTGGCTGGGGACACAGCAAGTCATAGTGCGGTTCTCTAGGAAGCATAATCAAGCCCTTGAAGCAGCCTCCTTGGAGAACACCTTCAATGGGAGCGACGAGGGTTTCCGGAATATCTTCGGGATGAGTGCCCGAGCAGGGATAATTGTTAGGGGTTTGGATGCCAGTTTCAAACTCCTGTACGGAAGACCAGTCACAACTGTTATGCTCGGAAGGTTCAGAACTCCCAAGATGCGCCACGGAATTGGCAATGGATTGCCTTTTTCGCGCCTTCCTTTTGAATTTGTAGCCTGGATGCGCTTCGGCATGACCGTCGTGCTCAATCTCGGCTAATTGTTGGAATTTGTCGCGGACTCTCTGTGGTTCTTCCCTCCATCTTTTTCCCGCAATAGAGGAGATGTCTCGAGGGTTGTGCCGTTGCGATAGTCTTCTGATACTTTCTGTATTGGCCCACCGGTACAGCATGAAGCAGTTCATGGGCCGTGGAACCCTTCCTTTCTGCTCTGTCTCCTTCCGGCGCTCTTCAACTGGCCGTCGCACCCATGTGTCTATATCCAGGATTGGAGTGTTCGTCATGTCTGGAGTCCACTTGCTCGGCTGGTCCGTCAGGTCCCAGGGTGCGCCTTGGGGCATATCACCCCACGAAAAAGCCCGCCGTTTTCGAGTAGACCGCTTAGAGTTTCCACTGCTAGACATCGAGAGGGATTCGGAAGGTGAAGTGAAAGATGACGAGACGGTTGGTCCAGGCCTGCTCGTATGATGGATGTCTGTCGGAGTAGACATGCAACGCAACCGACTCCCGCAATTGCTGTTTGTTTTAGCATGAAGAACCCCAAGACAAAGAGTGTAGCTTCTACCGAGAATTGACTAATACTAGTCGATATAGTAAACAAAGCGAGAAGCAGCGAGTCAAACACTATCCGTTACTTTGAAGGTCAGACTCTGTAGCATCAGCCAGAATATGGGAGAAGAACTCACTGTTGGGTGAAAAATAAGAAATAATAGAAACTGCTCCGAAAATCAGGGATGGCAGACTGGGAATAGAAAATCGAGTTTGAAAAAGGGCAGAGCACACGACTGGGAGTGGGTTGACAATGTTTATGCAAATTCTCGAGTTTGGTTGAACCTGGTTTTGACCCCTAATCTGCCTGAGATTAACCCTTGACGCACAGGCGGTGCTCCCACAAATTGGGCGCCACAAACGGTCGTCGTTTGGAGTGGCTGCTCTTCTTTTGGCTTGCTCTGCTCTACTACCCAAGGTAGAAGTATTTCCTCCCTGGTGCAATCAATAGTTGATTAGAATTGAAATTTTGGTTTATCTCTGGTGGCGCTTTTTCTGTCCAGATGAATTTACTTTATGCCAGGTAATATGGCTCCGTATATACATGCCACAGAGTGCAACTATTTCTAATCATGCTTATTAACATGGTCGAATATCTCACTGCGACAGTCCGTCTGAATGATGATCCAATAGAGATGCGCGGTGTTTTGACCTTAGGCGCTCAGCAAATAAGATAAAAATGACTGCCATTCTATCCCCGATTCATGGAGTATGACGCCGCTACGTATTGGCGCAAAAAAAAAATTTTTTTTCCAATTTTCCAATTTTTTTAAATCAAAAAATCAAAAAGATGGAAATACCGACTTTCCGAAAGACAGTGTATGTTAGTAGAAGTGGGGACGGAACTAGTGTTTCTGATTGGTCAAGCAACCTTTTGCTTGTGTGTGATATGATGAGGGCCTTGAGAGCATCCCAGCACATGAGGGCGACCAGCCCAAGAGCCCCAAAGCCATGCTCTATCGACAAACAATTTCCTCTCGTCATTACAGTGACCACGCTCAGGGCAGGAAAATATCAGAGCATGCAATCGGCTGGGGGAAAGACGCCCTTTATGTACCTAAGACCAATAGTGACGACCTACTTAGCCCCGGCAGAAGCTGGTGCGATTGCAATTTCCTACGATTGCAATTTCCTACGTAGGATTGCATAATTGGACGGCAAGCTGTGGGAGTCCCCGCTGATCCCTCTATTAGCGGGAAGAAGTCCTAGTAAAGCCAGGGGAATTCGCAAACTAAACTTACATTATTCATTTACATCAATAATAATGCTTCCCCCGACTCTGTTACATATCACGATGTGCCCCAGAAATTTCTCTCCATGGCGGCTCCAGAATGAGTTCTTCTGCAACCAGACATGCTTAGCAGTGGGGAAGTTGTTGACACATGTCTGCTCAAAGACCTCTATACCTTCCTTGGTTTGAATCGAACATTACAGCTAGTCCAGGGTCTGGTTCTAAACCATTTTGTCTTCCATACCGGTATTTCAAGCTTCTGGTATTTAATAACAGGTAAGCTACAAAAAGAATAATTCATGAGCTATAAATTTCAGACGTGTCATGCGGCTGGACCCCATTGGTCGGCCGTAAGCTTCCAGCTTTGCTCCAGGGGTTAGGTCCAAACGCTTCTATAAAAGATAAGCGCTAGCTTTACTGTGGTGATGCTGCAGCAGTATGAGATTTAAATACAGGACGTCAGTTCTTTTCACTCTATAATCCTTCTGTTGTTCTTGCTCATGGAGATCGCCATGAACACCGAAGGGTCGTTCTCCCAACAGCCATCAACACTAGGTGACCCGATGAAGATTAGTTCGCTCTTGAACCATCAGACGCTGTCCTGGCACCACCATCCACCACCTAGCTCACATAAAGGGGCCCAGGACCCTGGAAGTGCTCTGTTTATGGCATTCAACCCATTGGCATCATCAGTTCATGAAAGCGACGCCCATACCGAGAGTTTGAATTTGCAATATCAAGAGCAGGTGCCATTCTCAGATATACATGCTCATTCTTCCAATCCTATCAAACGTGGAACAACCAAGAGCCAAAGCCCTTCCCACCGCCGTCCTTCTCGGAAAGTATACAACGAAGAAGAAGTGTGCTTCATCTGGTACTACCGCGTCATTCTCAGACATAAATGGCCGGATGTCCTTGAGAGCTTCAATCGTCAATTTACAAGTCGCCCACGCCGCGGCTATCAAGGGCTTCAATGCAAGCTCCAAAGATTTATCCAACAGAAAAAGTCGCCAGCTCGCCCGAAGAAATGTCAGGACCGGGCTTACGGGGAAAAGGCTGGGGATAATCTGCGGTACCCGTGGATGTGGGAAGCTTCGAAGACACCCGGTTCCCAATTCAAAGCTCAAAATCATCTCCGAAAGAACTGATAGTATATTGGATCATGTGGTTTGCTATGTGAGGAGGCATGCCAAGAACCAAGGATATATAGTCAACAAATCAATATCTATCATACTCTTGAACGCACGAAGGTGGTATCTTATGTATATTCCTGTCACCTGCTGGCTGAACATAAAAACTCTAGATCAAGAACACGCATGTATTCGCGTTTTTTGTTCATTCGGACAAAGACCCTGGTAGTTTAACGCCTTCAATGTCCAACATCCATCTCTGGACCATCTCAGGGGCTTGGCTTTCAAAGACCGAAGGATGCTTCGCCATATAATCCTGCACAATGCTCAACGATTGCAGAACTTGCATCCTTTCAAGATTCTCCGCGAATCGAACGGAAGCTGCTCTCATGGGATCACGATCCTGGCTTAGCTCAAAGAAACGATTCGGCCATGAAACCTGGATATCTGACGGATCAAGAGAGCAGTGCACATTATGGTGATAGGCTGGTCGGTCGGCGAAAAGAGCATCGGAAGCACCGTTAGGCGAAAAAGGCAATCGGACTTCCGGGCCCGCAATGTTGTTCGACGGTGAGAATGGATAAGGTACGACGGAAGGCTCCCGGCTGCTCGAGAACTGGCTGGAATCCGTATATTGGCTGACGGGTACGGAACTGAAATTTATGGTCCTTGAGTCAGCCTTAGAATTTGTGGAGGTATCAAACGATTTGGCAATTCGAACCTCTCGCTCCTGGTTCTAGCAAAAGAGACCACGTTGGCATCCGCCTCGAGTTGGACTGGCTTTGGCTCCTATTTCTCCCTTGTAGCCGCCGTTGGCGGTTCTGGCGCGTTTTACCTCCTCGACACCTCGGAGGCTTCAATAGCAGTGTGTCATCGGGCGTTTTGGGATTGACGCCACATCCGCTGAGACGAGGTTGGATCTCGCGATATTTGGGGGGTATGGTTGTCGGAGATGAAGAGAGCGCAAGTGGTGTTGGGGGAGGTTGTTCGTAGACGAAGTCGTTGTTTTGAGAGCCAGTCTCAACACATCTGTCGACCGCTCCCATAGGATATCTCGAAGAATATTGCGGTAATTTTGTGTGACTCATTTGCTCAGAAGAGAACAGATCTCGTGTGCTCATGTTGATAAGGAGTGAGGCTTCTTTTGATGGACGCTCGAGCTTCAAGAATATCGGTGACAAGGCAGCTTCAAGTGATGCCCGAGGTAGACGCGACTGGTCTAAGTGCCTTGGACTGAACCTTGACCTAGTTGTCGGTTGAGCAGGTCTTCCCAATGGTTGAACCTCGTTACCAGGGCCCACGTAGCAGGTTTACAGGTCGTTCCGCATTTGTTTCTAGTCTAGCTGCATGGCACGTTTGTGAATGGTAGACACTTTCATACAGGGACCCACGGAGCGTTATTATCGAATTTTAAGCACATAGATTACGAAGCCATACCTAGGCATTATTACTAGAGGAAATTTGCCCATGGCCGTGAGCCGATACATTCCCCCTCACATTCTGTCCTCTCTTCATCATCCCATTTGCCTAGTGATCAGTTCAAGGAGCCCTGTTTCCTAAGCGCTTCTGACTTTTCTCTATTCAGTCTCACCTACTTTCAGGATGACCATTAAATGGCTAGAAGGCGGGCCTCAGAATGCGAAATTACAAGTCAACCTCCATCCAGGCAACGCCTCGATGGTGAAGTATCCAGTCACATCCAGAGAAGATTGCTACGGTATGATACCCTCGTGCTTAGAACTGATCCCTGAAGTCTACTGATGCATTCTTTTGCTAATCAATATACAAGGTCCATTTCAGGTCAACCCTAAGCCAATTTCGACATCAAGGGGAATTGGGAGCCAGGTACGTCTGGCCATAAGGTCCCAGCGTGAGCCCTTCCATCTCCAAATAACCTGTGGCTGATTCATTACGCGTGACCCGCAGCTCGCACAGCACGAAACCCCATCTGCTTTCCGGTTCCGACGAATTGAGACACCCAGGTACCCATGACGCGCATTCTATATATGTGGCTTGGATATTGACTTGCACCAGACACCATCGGCTGTCGCGAAAAGAGAAAGGCTGTCGATCGCAAGCCCCAGACGACGTATACCTTCAAAAACAAGCATGTTTCTCGTCGGAAGTGCAGGTCCTACGACCGAAACCGTGGTCTACCGTAATTACGGAAGTCGTCGACCATTTTTGGTCAATGGTGATATGGATGAAGCTACGTTCTTGAGAGATTTCTGTGGAAGGAGAGAGTATGGTTAATGGATAACAAAAATACACGTAGCTGTTTTTGTCTTGCTTTGGTCTACTTTATAAGATCCCCAATCATATAACAGAATGGTGGAATTGCGCCAATATCCTCGTCAACATTTGAAACTACATATTTCTGAATATGATCTTAATGTATACGGCCACGATTCATTTTGTCAAAACCGTCACTGATAGGTAGCACCCATTCAGCTATACATGGTGAGATACAAATATACAGGAGCTCTCAGTAAAATGTAACTATCAAGCGAGCGCCGTAAATGGTTACTGGTATAACTCTCTCCAAACTTCAATCTCACGCAGGAGTAAACGCGTTTCAACCTCCACTCTTTTCTTGCCTTCGATACTAACCAAGCGTAGTGTCTCCAGAAGCCGTTTAAAAGGGATTTCCTCTCCAGGGCATACGCGCAATATATGACAGAGAACCTCTCGTGTATCTTCAATGGTCAGTCCGGGTAAGGGTAATGGGTTTTTGGAAGCACAAACCAGGATACGTCAGTTCCCTCGAATATGTGTTTTGGATCCCAACCAAGGCCTTTGGGCTCAAAGCTCTCATTCATAGATGCAAAATAGCTTCACATGTGTCCGGGCCCAACCCTTCGAAGGCAGATCGATAGAAGCTCTCCAGGAGAGCTGCGTCGCAACGCTTGAGATTTGACAGTATGTTTTCCAGGGCTGGATTGTTTCTAGACACAAATTGGTCAATCAATGAGAAGTCAGACTCAACGGGAAAGATTCTTTGGCAATGAGTAGAAGGCAGCGGGCTCTTAGTTGATAAAAGCCCTCGCGCCGTATTGTCGTTCGCGGGGAGGCTGCTGAATTGAAGGGGCACATAACTGTTGGGACCATTATGCTTTTGTGTCCTACACAAACTCATATATCAGCATAAATATTCATCACGGAAAATAATAATATTTCCTCACTTCAAGCTCTGGTGCACAGCTTGGCTTGGTATGGCCACCTTCTTGTATGACTTCTGCATATTTGCTTCCTGGCCATGGAACCCAAAGGTATGGTTGATGAGGGCGTATTCGTCTATGTTCTGGGAAATTATTGCTTTGCCATGAGAATGAAAACCGACATGTGCTTCCGCCTGGGGCGAGGCTGGCTGTGGTTCAAAGCAGTTGGCCTGAACATAAGATTGTTCAACCATACCCCTTTCTTATTGCAAATTAGCATCATTTATATCATTGTAACTTGGGTTTGAGGAACTTGGACCCAGACAGTGCTGGACATACCTGTCCCGAAGGGATGTTTAATGATACTCCTACTAAGCGGATATGACGGGGGACTTGGTCCAGGGGCAAGGGAGTTGAAAGGTTGTGGATCCAGGCAGGGAAGCCAGTGGCCATTGTTAATCGCCATGGTCCAAAGAATTGAAGTTGGGATGATTCGGGGGCAACTAGGAATAAAGCGAGTCGGTCTTATCTGGCCGAAGATCAAGCGGCGATGGGGGTTATATACGATGTAAAGGGGAACCCCCGCTCCCTTGCTTATGAGAGCCTTTCATGCTCCGCGGTGTTGGGCGGGGAAACTTGTGATGCTTGCCTACTGAGGGCTAGCTCGTTCTGGGTCACTTATTAATTTGTAAATCCCATGAGAGTAGCTGGTAAAAATTCGCAAAGAAGGCAAGGGGCGTTATTACAAGGATGTTTACACAAGGAATAGGTGGGATTGGCTGCTAGGACACTTCGCTACGTCGAGTATGGAGCATTCATGAACTACTAAAACTAAGTAGGGCACGTTCGTCTTATTACAAGCGCAGTCAAAAAATGAAAATTACCATTTAATTGAAAGGTATTGTAATATTCGCGTCCGTGCGCCGAGGTATATCACACCCACTCCAAAACCCTAATATACATGGGAGATCCCCATGCAAGTGGTTTGTCCCTTCGATTGTGCATACACCTGCCCAGTCCTCCACCGTCTGCCTTTATCACGGAAACCATGGTAAGGGCAAATGGCTTTGTTCTGTTCCCGTACTAAGATTGATTATTAAGATTGATTGTACAGATTTCCGAAGCCGACCTCAAGATATCAGCCCAAACATCATTAAAAGCGTTGCAAATCTGGTCGCTGGGGACCCCAGACCTGGCAAATGCAGTTGAATGGCAACACGATCTCGATCCTGAGATTGCATCGCTAGTGGTAGCCTGCCAGCATCTCAGGAAGAATGGATACAGGAAGGGACGGAAACGTTTAGCCCAGAACAGCATTTTGAATCGGCTTGTGCAAGCCATGGTGGAAGACCTCACCGACGACTCTCTGAAAATATTCGCACTTCTCACCTGGCATTTCAACGCAGATTTTAGTGTGCCTCTTCCCCGTCAGCTTCTTCTATTCTTCGACGAGCCTTCGAAAATCTTCGAAGATGTTTGCACTGACATTCATCGCCGATACACGACAATGGCCGAATCGGAGTCTGCAAAGAGCTTCAAGAGAAGGGTTATCAGGCTCCTAGGGCTTGTGGAACATTATGTGTTTGAGGGGAAATGGTCTTGTATATTTAAATCGTCGGATTATGTTATCATCGTTGCAGCAATCTGTCAATAGCTGCTCAATGGAGTATTCCTTTCGTTCTTACCAGTATGAAAATACACCTAATGCTGCTCTACGTTAGCCACCATAGCAAATCTCACCCTATTACCTCAATAATGTCATTCTCCATTCTCCTTCTCCATTGCTTGACCTTGCCCGATCCGAACAAACACATGCATTAGGATCACTGCTAATACATAACCAAGGCTTGCTTCATACCTAACTCTGATTATAAAGACATTAGAAAGTTAACTCGTATACTGACACTAACAACTGGAGAAAGCAAGTACACATGGGTGGTGTAGGTGTGCTATATTAGCTGTCTCCAGAACTTCAAGCATGCAGCTAATAAAGATCATGCCTCTATACAAAAGCTCGCATCTATGCTGTGATCACGCTCAAATCCATGTATATCAACTCTTAAATGTCCTGTCAATCGAGGACAAAATTTAACATAGAGGGCGAAATATCGAACACAAATCCTCAAGTGAACCTATCCGAGAGACCCTCGGCCGGAAGTCGGAAAAAGAGAACTCAATCACCCACGCTCCGATAGCCAGATCAGAGTCGAAGATAGGCTGAAACGTCTCCAGAATGGCTCTTTCGGCGAGGACAGTCCCCTCCACATTCCCGGCTACTGAGGTATAGCCGCGCATGTCATAAAATATATCACACCGAATAAGCACTTCTCTTTTGACCGCTAGAGTAACATGAATGAAACGACCCATATCAGTTTCTTTGAGCCACTCTTCTTGAAGATGATCATACAATAATCGCCGAAAAAGCTGACCCAATTCTCCGTTCATTGTATAGTAGGTCGAATTTTCGATCATGACCAGGTAAATGTAGGCAGGTGAGAGTGCGTCGGTTCCAAGCTGACCATATCTCTCTCTACATGCTGCCAGAATACTGAGGCAAGGTGTCATAGAATACCCTCTTGGGTCATTCAAGACTATGGCTTCAGGCCTATCAGTATCGAAGTTGACAGGATGATAAGTTTACTCACTATGAGAAAAATGTTGGAAGAGTGGTCGAAAGTCCATTGCGGGTGACTGAAAGGGATGCAATGTATGCAATGGATGGTACTGTACGAGGGAGTTGAAGAGCTGGAGTTTGGGAAACGCCCTGGCACAAATAAAACATCCTTTCTAAGCAATGCACTCGGGCACTCCGAGAACCCCCATGTGCAGGGACCAAGTACGAAAGGTCATTTCTTGGTAATTCGAAATGGGGCAAAAAAAAATGCAATGGAGAAAATTATCCCTATAAGTGAGATCGGCATGCAGCCATTGAGAGTTCTCGGGCACTCAGTCAGTTATCCAATGAGAGCTGCATATAATTGATCTCCACAGTGGCCCTGAACTAGCATCGATCCTCTTCAGGCGGACGCAGATAACACATGTTATGAAGGGCTAGAAGTATTCCGGCTGCCCAATGGCGCTAAGTTTACATTATTTTTCAGTAAAACGGAAATTCCAACTTTTAGAAAGGTTTTGTATTTGGGAGTGGGCCAAAATACTTGCTTTTAATAGGCCGGGAAAGCCTCCTGTTAGCGTCTGTGGTATGGTGATACTACTATTAGAAGGCCAATGTCGCATCCAGGAAATAACCTCTTCTTATTCGTCCGGAATCTGGATCAAGGGACCCGGGAGCATCTCGAGCATAACACAAATACTGGACCAGCCCATCTTACACCGGAACCATGCTCCAGTATTCCAACAGAATCCCAAGCACCTGCTGTCATGTCGCTAGTGGAAAAATTTTATGTAAGACAATCAATTCTGGATTATATGCAGTGATATGCTAAACTATGAAGTTTCCTTTCCCAAGAACCAGTTTCCGAGCCGCCGAAACGACTTTAATTGTTCAACAAGTGTGGTTTCTGGGCTCGAAATACCTCAAGCGCGCAATCAAACGACAGCACAAGCTCAATGACAGGACCACATTCTTGATATCCTCCTGCCAGGCACTCAGAAAGTATCGCTACTTGCCCTGGGGAAAACGCAGAGCCTTGGCCAAGAACAGACGGCTGAGGAACTATGCCCACCGTATGGCAGGTGAACTCGCTGATTGTGATTTGGCTATGCTTTCCCTTCTCGCCTGGCATTTTAGCTCGAAAATGGTGCCTCTACCCCAGGGGCTTCTTCAATTCTTCGCCAACTTTGACGAGCAATTTGACACAGTGTGCCGATCCATCCACCTCAGCTACACGAAAATGTGTGAACCGGACACATTGGCAAACTTCAAGGAAAGATTGAGGGGACTATTACGGCTATTAGAACGACACGTGATCATAGGCGACGGGTTCTTGTATACCTAGGTTTGACCATCTCTTGGCCTATCCGCATCATACTAGTCAATGGGAATTAATAAAGACGGGTATATATACAATTGCCTGTCCAATCCAACTTCAAATCACTGAATCTTATACCACGCTTTCAACTGGTTTTTCGCCACTCCCATTTCCTTTGCTCTTCTCCTCCCCCCAGCTGTCAAAAACTGCCGTTGGATGAGGGGGTCAAATTGAAAGCTTTCTGTCGGTATCTAAATTGCGATGTTAGTTTGCCGTCGGTCGACGAGTTTCCTCTGCAACGCACTACCATGAATTTATCTAACCCAATGGGATGTTGATTTAGATCTTAATCACGGCCAACCGCATTGCGTCGATTATTTCTCTTTTTGCGACTGTTTTATCGTCAGTCTCGACACATAGGGCTTGCGTTTGGGTGGAAAGACTGACCACAATTGTCAAGTACAAACTCAACAGAGAAACATTCGGCGTATGGGCGGCGTCCTGGGCCCTCTCCCAAGGGAAGAGCTCTTTCTTTTATCTGGAATCCAATAGCAACCCGATAGCATCGAAGGAATTCCGGAAAATCTTTCTTCGTGATCAGACCAAGACCTTTGTGGATATCATCCCCTTCATCCCCTTCCTTTCGACAATGACTGTAGCAAGCATTTGGATCTGAAAAGAGCTTAAAACATCGCGGACAGATATAGCTCAAGCCCGTTTTTACAAGAGCCTGCATCAAGATTGCGAGCCGGCTTTCCACGTCAGGCATCTTGAAGCAAAGTGAATAGAAGCTAATAAATGAAGCTAGTTTGTTCCGAACAGGAAACAGAAGGTTGTCAGTTTGACGAAGTCTTAGTCTTTATAGGTGAGAACCGGCTCGCCAACGCATCACAGACCCAAAGTCTACTAGATGCAATTGCTGGATAGAACTAGCGGTGGGGACGCAAGCAGAATTTAATCAAGATCATAATACTAAGGCCTTCAGCCTCGACCGACGTGGCCCTTGGCTTAATTATCCTTCCAACACAGGTTCTAGAGCCGCTCTGATTCATCGGCCATATGATTCAAATTGTCTGCATGATGGCACTATCTAGGTTATGGAGAAGCTGGGCGAATCAGGAATAATCTCTACAAGCAAGGGCTCGCTAACTCCTTTGGAGGCCCCGGCTTGCAGGAGATCACGTCCAATCGAAGATTTAATCAGCTCTGTCTGCGAGGCCCAGTAGTGCTCAAACCACAACACCTGTATCAGATCCTCTCTGCCCGGGATCTTCTCCGTTTTCCTGATTTCGCGCTGCATATGGTAAACATTGGTACTTCTGCTATCTACCAGTTGTCCAAGTATGCGTATGCGCAGATTACCGACATTGAAGTCCGAACTAGATGGTTGTTTCTATTTATTATACGTTAGAGCCATGGATTGGAAGATGACTGAATGCAACAGTTCCGGGACACTGCAAGCTCGTCCAGTTCTTCTGCAGATATCAATTTGACGGAAGTTCCACGATGCGGTGCCGAACACTGATACACCACTTCTGGATCAACGGTTATTATGTTGCAGTCTTTATCAAAGATGCATCCAAACCTTGAAGGCCTTCCTGTGAGTACTGTGGAAGAGACGACCCATATCAGTTGCCTTAGGCCGCTCATCTTGAAGATGATCATACAACAATTTCCGAAAAAGCTGACCCAATCCGCCGTTCATTGCATAGTAGGTTGAATTTTCCATCATGACCAGGTAAAGAACGTTTAGTATGCACAAACAGATCATAGTCTCGTCATTGTGAGATATCAAAACCTCTCGACTTTATCTGCCATTAATTGTAGAGCTCAAGCTACTTGCAGCAGCCAAGCACCATATTTCAAGCACGAACATGCGGTCATGAATCGACCTTACGAAAGCACTAGTTTCATACTCCATCTACGTATTTTGAGTCCATTTCGCTTCCCTGGCCTTGCATATGCGGGCTTAATCGATATGGGTATCTAGTGGCCAGAGAACCAATTGGCGATGCTGCCGCGCAATTCATTGGGTGTGACAGGGGTATGGGGTCGTTAGTTTTGACAAATCAAGTCTGAAACGTAGCAACAATTGTATGCCAGAGCGATAATTCTCAAAGTATCCTCCTACTTTCTCACGTGTCCTTCATTTTTCTCACGCGTCCTCTCTTTTTCTCACGTGTCCTTCATTTTTCTCACGTGTCCTCTCTTTTTCTCACGTGTCCTTCATCTTTCTCACGTGTCCTCTCTTTTTCTCATGTGTCCTTCATTTTTCTCACGCGTCCTCGAATTTAATTTCGCCACAAGTCCTTGATTGTTGCCTTTATTGTCCGTTCTGGCTTATATTCTATTTTTTTGATCGTGAGATCTCAATTGCCGTCTTACAAGATGACAGAAAAGAGGGGATTCGACTCAGAGGGCGCTCAACTTGCCAGCAAGTCCAAAGCTGCGAGGTTCAATACCCATGTATTGAAAAAGTTACAGGCCGCTGTCACGAAAGATCCAGAGACCAACTTGGCCGAGCAATTTCCCGCAGAATATCCGCAACGTCTCATGGAAATGAGAAAACCTATCGAAAACCCACCGAGTAAGCACCACAATACCAGAATCCAGTCGCTCCTCGTTTGCATAGCTAACATCATTATGTGCCAGAGAAAACCAAGTATAATCCTCAAGGTCTTTCCAAAGCCGATGAAGACATCCGACGATCCCTTTGCCCATCAGACCCGGTTGAAATTATCTTTCCTCTTTCGGATAGGGTTGCAAAATTACTCGAGTCGGTGTCACTAACATGGGAGGATTTGCCGGTCGGACTCTCTCAAAGGCTGATTGAAGTCCTACAGAGCAGTGAAATCCTTTGGAAAGCTCCCTTCGCTCGCCAGAAAGGAGTGTTCAAATGCTCCGCAGAAATTGTTGTCAAAGCGGTTCGCAACATGGAGCACTATACTGAATACACCACTTTACAATATCTTGACCGTCATAAGCCAGATATTCCAGCACCAAAGCCTCTTGGTTTAGTGCGTATGAGTGGAATTTCTTTGATATTCATGACTCACATGCGATCTGCGCCGCTCGGGGAAGTCTGGCACACACTTGACTCTTGTCAAAAATCCTCTCTCAGCAACCAACTCAGCACGATACTGGCAGATTTGAGAACGCTTCCTTTTACAGAAGGGACTCCTCTAGGAGGAGTCGCGGGCGAAGGCTGTAGAGATCTCAGGAGGCATGTTCGAATGAGCGAGACCCCTATACTTAGCCTTGAAGATTTCGAAACATTCTTGTTCTCGAGCTCGCATCCAGGCGGCAATGTGTTCGTCAAATTTCTTCGTCAATTATCACCATCGTTCACAAACTGTTCGGGCCCTCGCATCGTTTTCACACACGGAGACATAAGGCCGGACAATATCATGGTTGAATTGGTCGGCAACAAGTACATGATTTCTGGAATACTTGACTGGGAATATAGCGGCTTCTACCCTGACTATTATGAATCTGTCCGGTGTACAAACTGCCTCGGCCCGTACGAGGATGATGACTGGTTTTTATATCTGCCAGAATGTGTCTCTCCAAATCTTTACGCTCAATGGTGGCTTCTTGATCGAGTCAGAGAAACTAGAGTTGTATGAGCAGGCGCATCGTTGAAAGTAGCTATCCGTACAATGAGACTCAGATAATTGCACCCTTTTTCTCCTTCAAAACTCTTCGCGCTTCACGATAATCTTCATCGTCCTCCTCCAGAACAAACTCATCCTCCAGCTTATCAAGGATCTCAAGCACGTAGTCCTGGCAGTCCCATTCCACCGTCTCGTTGTCCACAGGAACCGTTGACGCAACGTTTTTGATTCTCTATGTCGGCTTTGCTGATGACCCCAACGTATTCCTTGCCTAGAAAGCTCTTAGACTTTTCAGCCTTGGCCTTCACAACATTGCGCATGAAATTCGGATGTTGTCCAATGACTTCAAAGATCATTGGCACGTCTTCATCATCGACGTACAAAGCCCAATGATGGTAATTGCCGTAGCGAGGGCGATAAAACACAACGTATAGTTTGGGATTTCCCATATTGTTTAGGTGGTCCCTGGTCGGAGAGAACTTTTGTGAGCGATTGCAAAATGAAGATGATACTCCTGAATACTCACTTGATCCGGGGATAGCTATTCTGCGATAATGGCTATCCTGGCTTTAGTGGTGCTTGATACTTTGACTTGGTTACCGTCCATATTTATATGTTCGTCCTCGAGGAAAAGTACAGTTTATTTTGCTCTTCAAAATTTGATCAGTAGCTTTCCAATCAGCCCTCACCAATGAGTCGCTATACCAGGATTGGCCACTGGGGCTGAGTAATTTAGTACAGCGCTTAAGCTTAACAAATCAGATGCGCGCACAGGTCTAAGGCCGTTAAACTGGTATTGCATCCATATACAAAACCCAACTGCCAAGGGTCTGAGCGCCGCCTAGCCTAACAGCCCCAACCAATCAGTCTTACACTGACGTGGCAGCAAGTTTCTTCGAACCACATCATTAGTCACATGCTGTGTCTCTCCAGGGGTTCATCTGCCTCTCAATTTCTCATCTGCCCTCCCAATTTCTCATCTTGCCCTCTGAATTTTTCATCCGTTCTCTCAGTTTCTCATCTGCTCTCCCACTTTCTCTCTGTCTTTCCACTCATCCCTTCTCCCGGGATGTCTTTAGAAGACAATTTTCTAAAGCGAATACAAGCCACGCATCAACTTCTAGAGTCAGGTATCCGTAGCCTGGATGATGACCAAAGTGAAAATGTGGCGACATATTGCAAGCTGTTTCTCGACACTGCGCTTGTGTCCATTTCAAGTGCATCCTATTATAGGATAATAAAAGTGCGAAAGTTTCTTCGAAAAGTGAACATTCAGCTTGGCCCAACAATGCTCGTACTTTGCATGTTATCCTATGCTTATACCAAGCTATGTCGGCTTGATCTGGAGATTGTCTTCCCGGAACTTCAGCTATGGACCAAGCAGAACCCGGGGAACCAAGACCTAAAGCTTTTAGCACAGGAGGTGTACGAGCAGCATGGAATGAAGAACCTATTGGACAGCCCTGCTTGTCTTACAAGTATAACTCCCATCGTTCATTTTGTCTTTGGAGCCCGGCTGATAATCACAGATCCCCCAAAAAAGAAACGCAAGCGTTCTGTAGAGCGGCTGCGTTGTGGGAGTGCGTCCAATGTCTCTTCTCAGATTGAACGGGTAGATCCAGAGGGACACGCTCCAAGTAGTTCGTCTTCAGCAATTCCAAGCGATCCATCACGTACGTGCTCTTGTGCTACTATTACGAGGTTGCGCTAACGATATAGAAGACAGTGAAGAGATCTTACCTCTTGGCCAGATACACGATAATGTCGCATTTGGTGTAGATGACATGCCAGGCTTGCAAATATACATCCTCAAAAATCACTTGCCCCGGTCCATATTCGATCTTCGCATTGATCAGCTTGTCACTTGGGTCCAGCAATACCAATCAACTTCTTCCAATCCTCTTCAATTCGCAAACCTTGTTGACATCCTCCAAGACTATCAATCGAGATGCCCGAGTTTGCTATATGTTCAGCTTATCATCCCGTGGTACGGGCCATTACTACCATATATTGACATCAACATTGATTCTAATATGGGATGGAGTGCGAAAATCCAGCTTTCCCTCACACTAGCATATGATTTGAGTCAGTTCGTTTGTGGTTCATTAGCTCCGACGACGGAAACAGCGAACGGAGGGTTGGCCTAATAATATGATCGTTTCGCCTGGTTTTGCAGCAACAAGTACTATCCCTTTCACTTTGTCCGTCAATATGTATCTGGGGGTCTCTCCTTCCACTCTGGCAACGCCACCCGGTTGGTTTTGTTTATTTTGCTTTCGTAGTAATACGGCGCGCACATTTTCCGAAAACTGTATCTTATCGACGTCGGTCCACTGCGAGTCTAACTCCACATCTTGTCCTGTCTAGAATTATACTCAGTCAAGACCGCTGCAAGTGGCTATGAGCGTTGATGATCTACCTCCTGTTTTGCTTTCGCTTCGAGCTTAATAGGGTCGTCAGAGATGTCATTGACGGGTATGCCGAAGTCTTCGATTTCCGTCATCGGTACCGCCCCAACACAGGGAAGCACAATATGTCGTTTAGATAGATATGCCTGTTAACCGAACTCAGAGCGATAAGTTTGACATAGCCCACAACAATGTCAGAAGCATGGGAGGAACTTCATACCTGATTCAAATTTTGATAAAGGATCTGAGAAATGAGACATCAAGAATTGCTTGTCGGACAGGGAAGAAAGCAATCAATATCATTCAGGGATCAGAGTGCCCGACTTGGGTAGAAGAGTGGGGCGTTATTGCGTGGCGAAAGATATTTGGATCGCGAAAATTTTCAATCTTACGCGCACTCAAAGAGATATTCTGTGACAACGATCGTCAGAGTCAGCTTATGATATGAGTATATGTCCGCAAATTTTTGATTCGGCTTACAATCGAAAGGAGCAAATATCCGAGAATAACCACCTGTCGACGAAAATATTTTCGAAATGGATGTCGGCGGGGTAGATTGTCTAGAAGATGCGGTTATCATCACGTGACCAAAACAGTCCGGTTCAGGACAGAAACCAAAATTTGATGGAAATCGAGACATGTGGCAAAACGGTCAAATTGGTGAGGGATTGCCGAAACCCGGATAAAGGTTATTCCTAGAGGTCCCTAATCCGATCGGTCACACTCTCACATGACGTATAGGGCAACATCCCACCTTCCTTTTCATCGGGCATCCAGATCTGATTCTGACACATTGGAGGGTCCTCGATTAATTCTTCTGCGCCACTTCACGTAGATGGAGGCTTTACTTGAACAGGTGACAACAACTTTGAGGGATAAGTCTTCGTCATCACAGGTGAGTCGTTTAGGATGATCCCTTGAATAGGCTAGTAGTTTTAGTTCTAGTTCGGGTTCTGCCTGCTGTCATCTTTTGGACCTCTAGAGTAACCATACACTCCAGCTCACAGTCCAACGGTCTAGGCTTTCGGGGAACCGGAACACAGTGTCAGGGATGACGACGGAGTATTATCAGTTTGTAACTCAATCCATCCCCTGACGTTGGGGATTTGGACTGGTTTGTATCTGATAACCTGTGTTCATTAGCATGAGGAAAGAGCGGGGAGCAATACCCATATTCCTCCTGCACGGTTTGCTGGATATAACTCTGATGAAAACGCGCAAGGTCCCAAAGTCCAGAATTTGGGACCAAAACCCCGAGCCTTCGACTTCAGTTCAGGCTTGCATGTACACTCACCGACTGCGAAATGAACCTTGGATCTGAGAATAGTTTGGGGAGCTTTGGCCCTCATCACGAGCGGAGAAATCTTCGAAAAAGATCAAGCCACTAGCTTGGAATGGAGGGTGAGGAACAAGTTAACTTAGGCTCGTTCTCTATTCTCCCAGCCTGTCTAGAGCGACCTTCGCACAATCACAGCGTGTAGCTTCATATAGAATCACTAGACAAGGTGTTAGGTGTCTGATGGTCAAGCGTTTGGGCTTTTCGGCCGGCCATCAATTAAACAATCATGGCAAGAGCCAGAACGAAGGCTCCGCAGGAAGCGCACTCGGCGTCTCCTTTCCCGGCTGGGTGCATGGCTAAATTTTTCATGGCCCAAACTGATCGAAGTGTAGTTACTGAGGTGCATCTAATAGTATCTATTCCAAGGGTGGCCATGCCTTCGCAATTTGCAATGTCAAACTGGCTTCAAATTGACCACTGCCCAACGGCTAGAATCCACAGTTTAAGTTTTACTCTTGTCTTGCCGCCATGTTTGCTGGAAATCCCGTTGAACCGTAGCTGGGCAGTCTACTGACTCGATTCTATGCACTAGAAACTTTGAATAGCTGATACATCTACCCCAATAAAACATTGAGGTACGATCAAGAAGTATCTTTTCGGCGGGTGACAAGTGCGGCGTTGAGGTAGATCCAGATCATCCCGAAGCATTGGTAAATAGAACAGGTTGTAGATAGTTGGCGGTTCAGTCGGTGAATCCAGGGTAATAACAGAATATAGATCGAATGTAAGGTATAAACAGAGTAGTAACAAAGTGCATGGTCTAACACCGCCCTGTTGACTGCTGCGTAGACCAAACCGCACGTGTCAATTATCCCCCAATCGGAGACCGAATACCTCTTGTCTTGTAGAAGCCCTCACAATTGCACGGATATCATGGTTCTGCAATCATTAGTATTTTCTTTTTCCATTTTAAGCGTTCACTTATGATTCCTACTGTCTACTAGAATCGTCAAGTTATAAAACCCTACTCACTTCTCTGTTTTTAAAAAAGAGCCAAGCCTGACTAGAACCTAGGGAAGCAACAATCGGAATCCTTTCAGTAGTATCCATAGCCTACAGATTAAAACCATTTAACGGCTGTGCAATACGCTCTGACTTCGAAGATCGAAAATGCGGTATTTATCCTTTAAATGGGCGTGTAGCTAATAATTTGGGGGGGGGGATGTGTGTAGTAACCCTCGGAGGAAAAGAAGAGAAAGGAACAAAGAGGTCATAGGATCTATACTGTACAATACTCAGTGAGTAGGACCCTGAGCGCTCTCAGAAAGCGGACCCCAATTAGGCAAGTCGCGGCTGCGGCCTAAAATCCAGTACATACAGGTACGTATATACGCATATCAATTTCCAGTATTTTGTCTCTCAGAACAGTCCATACAGCCATGATACGATGTCTATTTTCATGGCACTTTCTATTACCGTACTGGGATACTGCCAAGAATATGGGTCAGGGGTAAACCAACCGTAAAAGGTATGGAGCTATGTAATATTCAAGATAGAATTGGACAGAGTAAAAAAACAACGTGATTTCGAGCGCGTCTGTACACCTCGCGCAAATCCCAGGAACGGATCATACCTCCTGGGAGCTTAAACCCTTCAAGGCTCTTGCTCGCAGACCGCCTCAGTTCCCTAATTCTTGCATATAAATACATCGATATAATCTCTAATACCACGACCGGCTCATTTAACAAGGCTTTGATAAATT